TGTCTCAACTCTGGCTTCATATGGGGCTGCTTTGTAGGCGGAGTGGTAGCAAGTAGTTTTCCAACTCGTGCCAGGCTGCCGCCCGTCCAAGCAAGCATGGCCCTGAACCGTATGCCGCAGTGCTGGCGGTTCCAGGAGTGTAGAAAACAGGGTATGAACTGTTTGGCATGAGTTATATTTTGAATGTTTTGACTCTACCGCGGTTCAGGGCAACCATCTGCGAAAGTCAAGAAGCTGCAGCATCCTGCACAGCCAGTTGCAAGACAACCCCCAAAGCAAGCATAGCCAACCACACTTTGCAAGCATGCAAGCAATAATACTGTCAACAAGTCTTCAACAATGAATTTGCTTTCAGCAGCCTGCCTGATCGCATGTAGGATTAGATGTACCAACGTCAGGTGTTAAGCAACCGCCGTCATCGATTCCAGTCGGTGAGCTCGGTAAGGAGTAAAGGTTAAGTCTTATTTGCTTGAAATACCTTTTCAAAAAACTATTAGCCACTGCTAATCCTTACTTGGATCCTTCCTTCAATACGAATGAAGTTTTAGGCTTGGGTCTCTGCTCATACCTGGGAAGCCCATGCTGTCGTCGGATCAACAGGCAGGCACATATCCGTCCCACCGCGCTACGCAAAATGTTCAATCGTTCAGAAGACTAGTCTACTTGAGTTATAGATATTCATTCTATTCGACGGTCTTGAACAGTCTTTTCTGCATGTTCTCGCTCTCCCTTTTGTATTTCGAACTCTGTGGGCTGGAGCGACATTCAAGGCTGCAATGCATCGACGAGATGCCGTACCCGAAAATCACAACTTGAAATCCGCACAAGCTGGTTGGGCAACGCAAAACATACCCTATAGCATTTGACATTTTAACATTCTGTTCAGCATTTGTGGATCACCTCAAAATTTTTTTTTGTTACTCGCCCTCAGTGATTGAAGCCTGGGAACAGCTTCGTCGCCGACAGGAATGCTGTTTTCAAAAACTCGGTCCTGTTTTCCTCGTTGATTCTTGTTACCGGGAATTCTCCGCAATTCTTCTGGTGTCTGTTTCCAAATGGTAATGGGCCACTGTGTGTGCGGGAGTGGCTCAGCTTTCTGACTATATAGTTTATGTAGGTCTCTGCTACCGGCTCCATGGAGGTTAGCTGGCTGCCGAAGGAGAAGCCAGTTACATGGCACCAGACCACATCCCAGTCATATTTAGACTTGCCTGCAGCACCCCATGGCAAAGATGTGAAAGCTGCCACCTCCTGCACGGCGTACAGTCCCTGCATCTCCTCAAGACCCAGGAAGGGACTGCCACTGGTTGCTGCACTTGCTACAGTGTCAGCTGTCATCTTCCTTGCCTACCTGTGCAGTTTGTCAATTCGAGGGAGACTGTCCAAACGATTATTTGTGCGCAAACTCGCCGGAGGCGAGCATGGCGAAGAAAACAATGAGACAGACCCGTGCGTCCCACACAGTGACAAGGACATAAAGGATCTTCCAGGTACCCCAGAGCAACCTAGCGAGGGTCGTAACCCTAGCGCACATGGGCTCCTTCGTTACCCGTCTTGGAGTGGAGATTCGGAGACTCCATATCGTATTGCGCTGTCGCTAATGGGTGCTAGTGCTGCTCCTGTCGAAGGCCTTTACCGTGCAGCAAGACCCCATCTAGGACCAGCTGAAGAGAAGAGGGGTGAAAAGAGATTC